GTTTAAAATTAATAAATTTACTATATTTTAATTTTATTAATTATATTTCAATAAAATTTATTTTATTATAAATAGAATGATATTAAATAAATATTGTTAAAAAATCATTAAAATATCATTAATTTTTACAAGCTTTGAACTCTACTTTTTATCTCATTATTTTTTTTTAAAAAATAAAAAATACTGCAGAAAAAACAAAGCGTGATCATTCACAAAATCCTCAAAACCCCAAGAAATGGTTGCTAAATCTTTTTTGAAGATTCAAGCAAAAGTTTCAAAACCTTTGTCTAAAGCAAAACTTTTATCAAAAGTATTAAAAGCATCTAAATCTTTCTCAAAAAATGTATCTAAATCTTTACAAAAAAATTCTTTAAAAAAACTATCATTTTATTATTATGAAGATGAAGATGAGGATAAAAATGAGGATGCAAATGAGAATACAAATGAGGATACAAATGAGGACGAAGATGATGAACTATGTCAAAATTACTGTAATTTATTAATTTTTTTTAAGTATTATTTAATTTTTATATACATTATTCTTTTTAAAAAAATATAAATATTATTTAAAAAAAGAAAATATTCAAAATGATGACAATAATGATGCTTAACCATTGCTGAAATCTTCAACCAGAAATCAAAATCAAAGTACTTTATTAAAATTATTCAATTTTATATAGTATTATTATTAATAAACTAAAATATTTTATCAAGGAAGTGTTATATTTAGAGATGAAGTGGGTAATTCTTCAATATTTCATGTGTAACAAATATATTAGATATGCTATCAGAAAATGATAATGAAGATAACAATGATAGCCAACATAATGATATATATAGTTTATATAATAATTATTGTTAGTATTAAAACTATTATATTAATTATTATTATTATATATATACTACATATACTAAACTATACCAAATTATAATAGCAATTTCAAGTAATGAACATAATGATAATGATAATGAAGAATTTCAATCAGGTATTTGTTTATTGAGCATAGATCTGTTATCAGTTAAACACTAAATTTAATAGTTGGGTGTGGCAACTTAGTGAAGTGGTGGAGTTGTCGCATCCCAGATGGCAGGTCTAGAGTTTGAATCCCACAGACAATATTTTCAAAAAATAGCTCTGTAATATGGTTAACAGCTATTTGATGATCAGTAGAATCTAGAAATCTGTAATCTTGGTCACACTATCTAGAATAAGAGCTTTGGCGTAATAAATCTGAGATACCGTAAGAACCAAAAACCTGTTTGGCAAGTTCTGAGTTGGGAGGTAGTGTGATTTTTGATAGTACTACAAGAAAACTAAATTTGGAACTGAAGCTGAGATCGGAGAACCAAGCAACCAGGTCCTTAAGTGGGGGACATATCAGCTGAACCTTTGGGTCGCCAAACCGGAGAAAAAGGACATGTGCTTTGGAAGCATGTACCAAGAGAAGGAAGACTATATAGATACTTAAAGTCTAGGTGAACCAACTCTTTCGGGTTGCTGGCTGAAAGTAAGGAAGAGACCGATAAAGAATCTGGGTAAGAAGAAAAGTTCTAATGTGGGTGCTGGGGTTGTGCAAACCCAAAACAAAGGCAGGAGTATGTAACAACTATTAAATAGAAAAGTTGTAGTTTGAGATATGGATTGGATTACAGCAGTTTCCTAAAAGATAGCTCGAGATACGAACCCGGTGGCAGCAACACAACAGGAACTAGATTAGGAAGAAGTTAACGAACATGCAGGTGAATTCATGTGTAGGACATGTACCACTTTGTTAGTTTTATCTCATGAATAGACTAGCTAATGCTAGTAAGTCCTAAGGTGGGTGCAAAATCTATAGGTATCGCAAAATCTAGCATATGAATAGTAAGTTACACCTTGGTTAAGTAAGAGATGGCAGGCTGGTTGTGATCAAAGAGTTTAAATAGGTAATTCTCTAGTTGGGTTGCAGGTATGGCAGCTAGTGTGAAACCTTGGGCAGACTACTTAAATAGGCAACCAAAAGTTGCAGGT